GGGGGAAAAATATTAATGAGTAATTTTCCCACCCCAAGAAAACGATCTCCAGGATTCAGCAGACTGAGTGTAGTGATTCCTCTTCATTTCATTCAGAATTCGAAGCCCGGAGACATCATGGCTTTGAAAGAGAAGCATTTTGTGTTACCTTTGTAGTCCTAAACAGTAACAGCTCCAGAGTCCCGGAGATGAACCTGTAGGGCATCCTTCAAACTTGTTACAAAAGTACTTTATATAGTGGCAACCCTTCTGTGGATCATGGTCCCACAAGTTCTTCCGCCTACCTGAAATGCCCACAATTCTGGGGAAAAAAAATTGACTGTCCCTTATATGTGTATTGAGATTTGGACCTTGACTGAAGTCTTATCCCATCTGAAACTCACCATCTTCAAGAGGGATAATCCAATGTCCTTATGCATAGATACAGATCGTCAGAGTTAACAGTGTAGTAATAGATTGTGAACGTTTGGACTCCATGGCTGGGAAGGAGGAAGAAATGTGTCTACGGGGACTGGCTAGTAGAGAGACTGTACCAAAACTCTAAAGCACAAGCATAGTGCTTATGTTTTTCCTCTTAAATAATAATAGGCTAGACACAGTGGCTCATGCCTGTAATCCCAGCACTTTTCGAGGGCAAGGCAGGTGGATCATTTGAGATCAGAAGTTCGAGACCAGACTGATCAACAAGGTGAAACCCCATCTCTACTAAAAATACAAAATATTAGCCGGGCATGGTGGCAGGAACCTGTAATTCTGCTACTGAGGGAGGCTGAGGCAGGAGATTTGCTTAAACCTGGGAGGCAAAGGCTGCAATGAGCTGAGAGTGTATTAAATACAGTAATAAACCACATTTACTCTAGAGTAGTCACAGATTCTGAATTCCACTAATTTTTTGTGTCCCCCCTTCCCCTTTCTCCAGTGCTCAGCACAATTCATAACACATGCTAGGTGCTCCAAACAGATGTGTTGAATCAGTCAAATAAATAAACGAATAAAATAACATACCCTTCTGCACATGTTTTAGTTCTTCTGATCTTCTATTTCTTATCTATAATGTGGGGATAATTTTATTTCGTGGGTTTGTTTTCAAGATGAAATAATATAGCATACCTTATACAATGTGTAAAATGTCAAATGCTATGACCAGAGGTACTAGTGGAATTTTAAGTCTGCAGGTATGTTTCAGATTAAAAAAAAAAAAAAATCAGTACCAAAAGCTATAGGTGGAAGGAGTTAATTAATCTCAAACACATTTAGGAAGAAAGAAATAGTGCATGGTAGTAGGAGAGAAAGGACAGTTAGGGATATAGCGAACACTTTTAAGGTCAGTTGAATTACTTCGTAAGAGGTAATTTTTCTTGTCACAATAAATCACTCTGTGTCCCACCCCCGCTCCAAGAAGGCAGGGAGGTTGTAAAGGAGAAGCAAGAGGAGGGTTAATTTGGGCTCCCTCCTGCCTGCTGCAGTAATGAAGGTGACGCGGCCACATATTTCATCTGAACTTCTCCTGTGGTCTTTTTTATATTAAAGTCTTTCACTGTTACAGGACTGTGCTTGGAAAAGTTGGAAAACTTTTCCCTTGGTGGAGGAAAAGACGCCCTCGTCAGACGTAATCCAACAAATGAATGGAGTTATTCCTTTGGCCCAACATCTCCATCCACTAGTATACCAGATATTCATAGAAACATGTTTCCTCACTTCCAAGGCCGGAATTTTACTCTCCCTTGGCGTTGCCTAGTATCGGATGCGCTGATTTCGAAAGTGAGCAGGCAACGGACTTGGCTTTCGAGCCACGGTTGTTGGCTTTCCTAGGAGTCGATGCGACTTACCGTCCTGTGTTGTGTGGTAACTTCTCCCAGGAGCAGAATGTGTAAAATAAACAGTTGCTGAAAAGCATGAAGAATTAACGAAGTGAAAATCTCGGGTTATTTGTTCGGCAATTGAAACGCAAGGGACCTCCTTAAATGCCTAGTTGTTTAAGGACATTTAGAGCGAGGATGAATGAATCTTCAGGGTGCTTAACTCACACCGGCGTGTAAATGTCTTTAGTCTTTCGGGAAGTGGCGGTACATTTAGACAAATCCAGCAGGGAGGTAAAAAGGAGGGTAAAACCACGGCCTCGGAGCTCTGTTCGCAGCGCTGTGGAAAGACTTGCAGCTGGGAGAACCCGGAGGCGCTAGGACCTGGTGGGCGCCCCGGTTGCGGCCGCTTTCAGGAGGGCGGAGGAGGGAGAGGAGGAGGGGGATGTGGGAAAGGAGGGGTGTTAAGGGGGGCGGGGGAAGTCATTTATGCAGAGCAGGAGCTGCTGCCATTGCCACTCAGAATCCTCGCGCGCTGCTCGGAGCCGGAGGGAGCGCAGGGAGCAAGTAAGCGAGCGCTCGGAGCCTGGGCCAGCAGAGGGGGCGCCCGGTCGCTGCCTGCACCGCTCTCACTGGCTGTCTCCGCCGCGCTCGGGGGCCCCCGGAGAAACGAGAGCGAGTCGGAGAGTCCGGGAGCCGAGCCCGGCAAAGCCCAACTGCGGAGGACGCCCGCCCCACTCAGCCGCCTCCTGCGCCGGAGCCGGGGAGCATCGCCGAGCGCTCCACGGGCCTGAGCTGGGAGCACAGGTCCTCGCGGCCCCAGGGATGGTCTAGGAGCCGGCGCGAGGCTCGCTGCTCTGCTCCCTGCCGGGGCTTACCGCCTCCTACCGGTCGCCCGGGGCTGCGAGCTGCGGCGGCCACGGGCTGTGCGCCGGGCGGCCCAGGCCGGAGAAGTTAGTTGTGCGCGCCCTTAGTGCGCTGAGCCAGCCAGCCAGCGAGCTAGGGAGCAGCGAGGCGCCGGGACTATGGGCTGGGGGAGCCGCTGCTGCTGCCCAGGACGCCTGGACCTGCTGTGCGTGCTGGCGCTGCTCGGGGGCTGCCTGCTCCCCGTGTGCAGGACGCGCGTCTACACCAACCACTGGGCGGTCAAAATCGCCGGGGGCTTCCCGGAGGCCGACCGCATCGCCAGCAAGTACGGATTCATCAACATAGGACAGGTAATGGACTACAGGCTGGCCCAGCCCTAGGCCCTGAAGCCACTGGGGGCTTCTTGTCCCCTCTGCGTGGAACTCCCTCCCCCTCTTCCAGATGTGTTCTAGCAGCTGTTGCCCTAACTCTTGGGCGATGCTCTGTCTCCCGCGCGCGGGCGCGCGGACACACACACACACACCCCAAAGTTGCCGGGTCCGTGTTTTGTTTACTTGTCTTTTGCAAGCCACGCGGGACTGGTAGAGTCTTGAGAAAAATCCATAGTGCCTCCGTGGTGGTTTCAGAGACGGCTGGACCTTTTGACACAAAAAGTCGAGTAACACTAAAAATCCGAGGCAAAGTCTCAGAGGGTGATCGTGGGGAGAGGGGGAAATGAGGTCTTTTGGGGGATAGGGGGTGAGCGCGCCTCTGATGCCGACGGGGAGGGAAAGCCTTTCCTGCTCAGACCTGAATTTAGCCCAGAAAGAAGTTTCCTCTTCTTGGGCGAGAGAACCGCTGGCGCTGGAGAAGCCGGAGGCGCGGGGACTGGAGCTGCAAGGGAGGAAAAAAGAGGGGAGGGAAGAGGGGGCGGGACCCTGTGTGAGCGCAGATTTAGGGGAGACCTCTAGGCTTCTTTGCCTTAAGCGAGGTCCGCTTGGGGGCTCCCGGAGGGGAGTTGGAGTGAGGAGGTGGGAAACTTCCGAAACCTGTTGACTGGGTTCCGCTCCGGGAAAGCAAGGAGTCTTACCCCGGACGGAAGGTGCCAGGCCTGGAGGCTGCGCTGTGGGGCGAGAGTTGGGCAGGCAGCAGGGGCGCGGGGTTTTTGTGGGGTGTCACTTGCGGGGTTTTGGCAGAGCTTCGATGCTAGGGAGAAATGCCGATAAACTAAGGTGATGCTATGAGGACGATTGGAAGTGTAACGGATTTGGAAGTACTCCGGATTCAGTGGTCTTGGCTTCCTAGTTCTCTTCCCCCCACACCCCTGTGAGAAATGGGGGTAGAGAGGGCTATGAAAGTGGGTCCCAGAAAGTACCCCCCCCACACACGCACGCACATACACACCGCAAGTATCTTTGGGGCTGGCCGGAGGAGCGTTCCCTGGCTGGGCTCTGGCGAGAATCCGCCGGAATGGGAGGTGATGGATGGCGCCTTTCCAGGAGGCGCGCTTTGGGGGACTGCCTGGGGTGCACGCACCCCTCGCACGTGCTCTGCCAGGGGGAAGGGAGAGGGAGGTGCTGGCTGGTGCCAGTGGAGTGGTAGAGTACGGACAGTTTCTGAGGCCACTGCGTTCCACGCCCAGGAACCCGGGGACACCCCCTACTCCCCGCTGCCTGGGGAATGCGGCGCCTGGCGAGGAGGCAGAGCTGCCGTCGCTGCATCTAGAAGGAGCTGGGGAGCGCGGGAGTGTTCCGAGGAGCAGGAGCACAAGATCTTGCTCTTTGCCCGCCCAGAGGGAGGACTCATTCCAGAGAAGCCAGCCCTGTGGAGAACTGAGACTAGGGCAAGGGGCACGGTTTGTATTCCCTCCCGCCCCTGGAAGTGAGGAAGTAAGGGAAGCCAGCCAGATTTTGTTGCTTGAGTGCCTGTTGTCTGCGGAAGATTTCCATTCTAAAGGCTTGTTGGGATTCTACTGGCTTCTTTTTCTCTGGAAGAAAGCACCGAGTCCGTTCAGGTCTTGTTACATGAACTTAAAGTTGGGCACTGCCTATGCCCTGAAAGTAGCTAGTAGTATTAATCATCTCGGGTTCTGCTAATACTGAACATCTCACACCTGCCAGGCATTTTTGAAAGAATAGATTCTTGAACGTACCCTTCTTTCCTAATCTCAAAACAACCTTGTTTGGCAAATGTCACCTCACATACAGGAGATGAGGAAACAGACCAGCTGGACAGTGGCAAAGCCATGATTCAGATCTGGGACTCTGACGGTTGCAAGCCCACTCTCCCTTGGATCCTGCCTTTAGGGAACCCTTCCATCCTATAGGTGAAGGCGGAAGTAAGTAAAAATCTCCATTTCCCTGAATTCTGATTTTCCAGTAGACTAGAAGCAAATATCTGGTCTCAATTCACAGATATTTAGTTCAAACAAACCAAGATTTCTTGACTTGAAGAACAAGGGCAGAAACAGCTGTTACTTCTCTGAATTAAATGAGCAGAACTGGTATATTACAGAATCTGGCATAGTGAGTTGGGAGAAATTGTCACCCAACCCGTTTTTGAACAAGCCAACATTGCAATGTCCTGCAACCTCTGCCTGACTTTTTACATAAGGCCTTATAATGAAGATTTGTGGCTTTGCATTAAAAAACTAATACTAAGAAAGTTTACATACAAATAACACCAAAGATGATTTATTGTGGTTTTTACAGCGCCGATGAGGACATTTAGTGCTTATAGGGATTACGGAGGACCCCCTAAACCAGTGTAAAAAGATCAGCTATTCTACAGTGGAGAGCATTTCCTCTGTAGATCAAAGGAGCTTAAGCCTATGCTAAGTCTTTGGGGTGGTAAATTGAGTTCACACGTGCAATATCATTGCACTGTAAGGGCCAAATGTATTCCTTTTTCATCCTTTACTGCTCTGACCTTTCAACACTTTAGACATCCTTTTGTTTTTCTTTTTCCATCAGTAAAGCAGCTGTGAATCAGTTGAGGGCAGTAACTAATTTGCCAATGTCTCTGGAATGTTAGGTTTTTTACCCATTTGGGCTTGAGGTCTCCTCTTATATATTGCAAATTGGAACTGAAACTTGTTATTATTTCTGAAGCCATTTAGTAACCTGGTAGTATTTTTTATATCTTCAGTATGATATTCTAGGTGAGTAAGGTAGTGAATTTTCACCACAGTAAAGGTACGGTTTTGACTATTTACTCAGAATATCAGTATAATGTTTTGTGTAGCATCTTGGCTTTAAAAGTCTCCAGAGGTAACATTTCTGGCTTGGGGATTTCTATGGAGAAGAATAGTTGTGCCTCTTCTGTTCATAAAAGATGGGATGTGCAGAGTAACACAAGAAGCCAACAAACAAGCAAAAAGGACATGCTTGACTTTCAGAAGGGAACACAAATGAGAATTTTCTTGCCCTTATTTATAGAGCTAGCATGTGTTTTCACAAAATGTTTATATTTTGTGAATGATTGTGCCTTGAAATCCTGCAATAATAATACTTAAACATAATCATTGTTAGTTGTGGTCATGTTAGCATATATATTATATTTTGGTTGGTATCAGAATCAGAGTCAGAATGCCCTGCTTTTCTTCCCTACAAGTTCTGACTACAAGCCATCTTAGTATCTAATCGGACAAGCACCTTCTGAGCTGCCCGAGAGTAGGAGGTGTGCATGCCTATTGACCTGCACAGGAATGGAGCAAGAGGCCTTTGTCCTCACTCACTAATCATGTGCTCTGATCCTTTAAGCTAACAATCTACCGGTTAGAGAATTGAAATGATGTAAAGGAATAAGACCTGACATATTGTTAATTGTGGACCTCCGTTTAGACTAAATCTACAAAGAAGAATTAATGTCTGGCTATTAGAATTCAGAGAGAAGGTCCCCTGTGAACAAACAGATTGTTTGCAATGTGCAATAGCTGTACTTATCCTTCTGTGAGTTGCTTATAATCCTTGATTCCAGCCGGAGATTACCAGTAGTAAAGCCCCTTCCCCAAACCACATAACAATTTGAGTAACACATTTAAAGGATAAAACTAGATTCAAGCCATACTGGGGAAATATTTTACCTAGAGCCCCCCTGTTGACAGCATGTGGACTTGGAAACTCTGGAGAGGCCACTTTCAAGGCTGTGAAAGCAGGAAAGTCACTGAACTTAATGGAGCCTCTGTTCCTTCATCTGTAAAATGATAAATCTCTAGATAATAGAGTGAGTTAACTATGCATTGCTCAGCACATAGTTAGGCTTGCAGCGAAAGGTTTGTTTAATCTGAATCTGAGGAGAAAGGTCAAAATAAATGAGATCCAAAATTTTAGATAAGGAGAAAGGAAGACATTTTAAAAATGGAGATGCAAAATGTGAAGATCAGGAAAATAAATTTTTGAAGATTGAATTGCAAGAGCTATATCACTGTTTTGTAGGCAGGGAAAATGATTTTCCTTTTCAACAAGCAATTTAAAATATTAATAGTTTAAAAATAGTTTTATGTTAGATTCTAAACAATTAGGATTGATTTCCCTGGGAGGGCCCTCTTCCCTCATTGATCCTTGTCATAGACCATGAAAGGTTATAGGATCAGCATACTGCAGATGGACGAAAGGGAGGAAAAATACCTGAGAAATTTTGTTAAATTATATTTGCATTTACATTTTATTTTTCATTCTGAATGTAGTTTGTATGAGTAAAGCTAGAAGAAGCATTTTCCAAGTAGGTAGAAAGAGATACATGAGAGGAAGAACTTTGTTCAGAGATGTCCTGAACACCTCCCACCCTGCTGATTAATTTTGAGCTGTGAATATTACAGGATGCTTGAAAGGCTGATTCACAGTGGGCAGTGAATTCTGGGTGCTTATGGATAGTACTGGAAATAGGGGATGTGGTTTGTCTGATGAGTTGTATGGAAGTGGATTGTGCTTGTCTAATAAATTCTTAGGCATTTTGTAAACAGGAGAGTTAATTGGTGCTGTAGTCCCAGGTTGATCTCTGGATGATACATCTGGCTTTGCACAGGGTAGCTCTTTATGCGCAAACACCTTAGCCCTGACCCCTGCCAGCCACTCTCATATGCATATATATATATATATATATATATTTTTTTTTTTTTTGAGATGGAGTCTCACTCTCACCCAAGTTGGAGTACAGTGGCGCAATCTCAGCTCACTGCAATATCTGCCTCCCAGGTTCAAGCGATTCTTCTGCCTCAGCCTCCCTAGTAGCTAGGACTACAGGCACATGCCACCACACCTGGCTAATTTTTGTATTTTTAGTCGAGACGGGGTTTCACCATGTTACCCAGGCTGGTCTTGAACACCTGACCTTGTGATCCACTCACCTCGGCCTCCCAAAGTGCTGCGATTACAGGCGTGAGCCACCACACCCAGCTACATATTTCTTATGATGAAGCCAATGAAGGAATAGTAGGGGAACCTTTACTGGAAAAAGCAATTTGGAGTGCGTGGCCTGATGATGGTGAGTCTGTTGCATTAACCTCATAGATAAGGAATGCCTTGTATGTGTTCATTGGGGATTTTGGGGGTCTATTTGAAGTGAAAAACTGCATCTTTGTAAGCCTAAAGGTAGCTGACTTTGCCTTATCACTGTCTATCATGAGCTTATATCCATAGATCATAACCGTAAAGGTCAGCCAGAGAAACAGGGTAGCATGCTGGGAAAATTTTCAGCAATGTCTGACTCTTTGTCTGAGAGAGGGAGTCCTGACCCAGAAATATCCCCTGGGCAGGGAGGAGTATTTGTGTTGTCGGTTCAAGTTATGTGAAGCAGTGTCTGGTTTTCACCAAGGCTAAAGTATCTCCAGGCATCACTCTGCATTGAGATTTCATTATTCATTTAATTCAGGTTGTAACCAATGACAAAAAAGCTGACTTTAGCTTCCTGGCTGGTAAAAGTAAATGCTTATAGACATTCATGCATGCTAGAATACACACACACACAGACCTATATATAATACATACACAGATATGTATGTGTGTAATATATGTATATGTACACAACATATATATGTCAATTTTTATTTTTACCAGAGTAAAATAACTCATGTAGTGTTCTCATTAGTTTCAACAGATTATCTATCTCTACATCTAAGAGTACCAAGAAGGAACAATCAATGCCAATAAATTCTCGAATTTGAGTTCATACTGGGAGTAAAATTGGATGGGAAAGAAAACAAGACTAAAAGGCAGGTTTGAGTGAAATTCCAGGGTCTTTACTTTTATCAACCAACCTGACCCTCTGTTCTTCATTTTTCATATAGGGAAACATAATACCTACTCCATCCATCTCATAGGGTTGCGGTGAAAATCAGGTGCCCTAGTAGTAAAGATAAGTGTGTATATAGCTCAAATAAGCCATAGGGAGCATTAGATGATCTTTAGAGACACTGAAGAGATGCAGAGGCACTCAAAGGAAAATAACAACATGCAGTGACTTTCTAGATTCTTGTGATTGTCCATGGGGATATAATGGGGACTGAAAGGAAGAGGAGTAAGTGATGTGCCTGGACAATGTGTAAGACGTTGTGATAGCTGTACTTTCCCTCCAGGAGCCATGGAGTCAGGGCTGGGGCGAGGGCAACTGACAAGAAAATCAGCCAGCTAAGGCTCCCGTCTCCTATTGGATAGCCCTTGTTTATAAGACATACAGAAATATGAAGGTGGCAAGATTTTCTTTCTTTTTTTTTTTTTTTAAGATAAAGTCTCTCTTTGTGGCCCAGGCTTGAATGCAGTAGTGTTGCTATCTCAGCTCACTACAACTGATGCCTCCCAGGCACAAGCGATTCTCCTATCTGAGCCTCCGGAGGAGCTGGGATTACAGGCACGCTACCATTCCTGACTAATTTTAGTATTTTTAGTAGAGATGGGGTTTCACCTTGTTGACCAGGCTGGTCTCGAACTCCTGACCTCAAGTGATCTGCCTGCCTTGTCTTCCCAAAGTGCTGGGATTACAAGCCTGAGCCATCAGGCCCAGGCACAATTTTCTATTTAAAGTATGAAAACATAGTCTTTTAGTTTGACTCCAGTGTGATCTGTGTAGAAGACTAGTGGGAAGTAAAACTGAAACATAATAGGCACATGAGGAACAGAGATGGACTCTTTCAGGTGCAAGTGTCAAAAATCAACCTCATACTGCTTAAGTAAAATTAACAAACAAGCAGATAAGCAGACTGGGCATTTGTTGGTTTAAACAGATTCACATGCATTTATGTGCATTTATAAAAGCAGAAGCTAAACCTATTTTGTAGTCAGACTTTACCTGATCTGCACTTTCTTCATCACAAAACCTGCCCTGACCTCAGCTGACATTAATTAGGCCATGAATTTGTTTCATTGCAGAAGTATGAATGAGTTTGATTGTGGGGGCATTGCCCTTGATCCATGGAGAGGTGTAGGTAATACTCGAGTATGTGCCTCATTGTGCTTTTCTCACCTGATAGAATTCTGAATTCTGAAACATATTTAAATCCAAGAGTTTCAAAAAAAAAAAAAAATGATTGTGGGCCTGTCCAGCTGAAAAGCCAGAGGTAGTGCTAATGTCAACTATTTCTCCTTTTCCCTCAAAAGGCACTTTCCAGAAAGCAGCAAATTCATGTGCTTCTTAGTACCTTTCTTATCCAGTATTGAAGTTAACCCCTGAAAAAGACTCCTCATTGGGTGGGGTCGTATCCCCACATCTGGGCCAAAGATCACTTTGTCTAGGAGGGTAGCAATATTTTGATGGGCGAGCTTGGGTCCCATATCCTCCTTTAAAGGGAGATGTTGACATTTGATGAGCAGTCCACCAGTTGGGTAGGGACGGTTCCCCAAAGGAAAGTGGGCTGCTGTTACTAAAATAAGAGAAAAGCGATGTGAGATAAGGAAGAAACCCACCAGAGATCAGGTTTTGTAGGTCCTAATTCCTAGGCTAGAGAGTTTCAATGTTATTATTTAGGATAATTTTATACTGAAGATCCCTGAGAAGGAGAGACAATAACCCACTGATTCCACCACCATGAGTCTACCATGTAACATATAGATCAGAAAACGTTCTCTGTTCTCGAGGAGCTAGAACATTTTCATCAGTAACTATCATTTAGTAAGACAAATAATAATGGACTTCTGGGTAGTGTAGGATGGTTCAGCCATGCCTTGGGAGAGTCTGCTGGCAGTAGTGTGCATGATGAACTGAATGCAGAATGGCAGAGTAGTGATTGTGTTGGCAAAGATTATTGATAATGAAAACAGGAGCCGTGACAATGGAAAGATTTGGAAGTTCCTGTAGAGGATGATTCAATAGGGCTGGGTAACTAAATGGAAGTAGGGGATGAGGAGGAGGGAGAATGTGACGATAGCTGCAGTGTTAGCCTAGGGGCCAGGAGAATGGTGGACCTTTTTGTAGAGTTAAGGCAGTGTGCAGGATCATTTTTGAGAACAAAAGGATAGGCCCAGCATTAGTTTTCTTTTAGATTTATTTGTATTATATATATTTAAGGTATACAACTTTTTTGATATATACATATACAATGAAATGATTATTACAGGTAAGCAAATTTACATATTTATCATCTTCCATAGTTACCTGTTCTTTTTGTGGTAATCTGTGTGCTAGGCTCTTCGCAAATTTTCAGTAAACAATACAGTATTATTATGTTGTGTATCCCTAGCACTCCTGCCACACATTCCATTTCTAGACAGATTCATCCTACATAACTGTGAGTTTGTACCCTTTGACCTTCATCTCCCTCCTCCCCCTCCTTACCCCTGGTAGTCACTGTTTTACTGTTTATATGTAGTCAACACTTTCCCCCCCAGATTCCACATATAAGTGGGATCACCAACATTCTTTTTGTTGGAAGATAGAAGGACATGCAGATAGCAATGTCTAGTAGGTGGAAGAACATTTAATTTGGAGTAAAAATTGGCCCTCATCAACCTTAGCATAAAGGAAGCTTGTGGAAGGGCTTAGCATTGTTAAGAGATGAAGCATGAAGAGAGGGGAACTGAGAAGAGAAGGCAGAGAGGAGAATGTCTCCACTTAGGGATCAAGGGAGAATGGGGGTAGATTAAAGGGCTGGGGAGGCCAGGAAGATTCAGAGAGCCATGGGCTGAAAGGGTAACTCCTTTGGAGGGTGTGCAGTAGTAAGAAGTTCTATAGAAAGAATCCAGGAGGATGTGTGTTAAGTGATAAGACGGCTTCCAGTGCTCTTAGCAGCAGTGCTTGATTGGATAGTGGAGTGGAGGTCAGAACAGTTTTTCTTTGCCCATTGGCTTCTACCCACCTGCTGGCCTCCATTTCCTCCCTTCATCTCTTTGTAGCCAATGTGCTGAAGTAGTTAGGATCATAGGTTTAGAATTAAAAGGGTTCGAAACCTAATATTGTTCCTTCCTAACTGGGGACCCTAGATAAGTGTCTTAAACTCTCTGTTCGTCAGTTTCGTCATGTGTGAAAAGGATATAATAACAAGAGTGATTCCCCATACAATCATTGTGATGAGTTAAAAGTAGCTAGAATAGTACCTGGCACACACATACTCAGTAAATGAGTTATTACATCTCATTTAAAATTATTTTGGCTGGGTACAGTGGCTCATGCCTGTAATCCCAGCACTTTGGGAGGCTGAGGCAGGCAGATCACTTGAGGCCAGGAGTTTGAGACCAGCCTGGGTAAAATGGTGAAACCCCTTGTCTACTAAAAATACAAAAATTAGCCAGCTGTGGTGGCACACAACTGTAGTTGCAGCTACCCAGGAGGCTGAGGTGGGAGAGATGCTTGAGCCTGGGAGGCCAAAGCAGCAGTGAGCTGAGATCACAGGGGCACCAGTGAGCCGAGATCACGGGGGCAGCAGTGAGCAGAGTGCCACCGCACTCCAGCTTGGGTGACAGAGCAAGACTCTGTCTCAAAAAATATGTATATATATTTTTTACCCTGCAGTAAATCAGTTCACCCCATTAATTATTTTTCACCTCCCCATTCACTCTCAAGTGAATGGGGAGCTTCCACTAGCTGGTGAGCTTTTTGAGAGGGTAGTGCCTCATTCATGATTGTATCCCCAGCACCTAGAACAATGTGTGGCACAGGAGAAACACAATGGGCATGGGGGTAGGGGTTATACAGGGATAAGTGAAGAGGAATAAAAAATCTGTCTGGAAAGGAAGAGAAGTGTTGGTGCCTCGGACCAAAGAGGAAGGAAGGGCGAGTGGCGAGTCAGAGGAGTTCTGCTGAGGAGAAAAGGAAGTGTAGAATGGCCTCAATCTCAGTCACTTAAAAGGACTATAAATCGTTCTACTATCAAGACATATGAGCACGTATGTTTATTGCAGCACTGTTTACAATAGCAAAGACTTGGAAGCAACCCCAATGCCCATCAATGATAGACTGGATAAAATAATGTGGCACATACACACCATGGAATACTATGCAGCCATAAAAAGAATGAGTTCATGTCCTCTGCAGGGACATGGATGAACCTGGAAGAC